TAAGGACTTGGGGATTCTGCTGGATGAGAGGCTGGGCAGGAGCCAGCAATGTGTGCTAGGAGCCCAGAAAGCCAATAGGATCCTGGGCTGCATCCAAACCAGTGTGGCCAGCAGGGCGAGGGGGGGAATTCTGCCACTCTGCTCTGCTCTGGTGAGACCCCACCTGCAGTGCTGCGTCCAGCTCTGGGGTCCTCAGCACAGGAAGAACAACAACCCATTGGAGCAAGTCCAGGGGAGGGCTGCCAAGCTGACCACAGGGATGGAGCACCTCTCCTATGAGGAAAGGCTGAGAGAATTTGGATTGTTCAGCCTGGAAGAAAGGCTTTTGTGTGACCTTAGAGCAGACTTCCAGTACCCAAAAGGAGCCGACAAGACAGAGAGGGACTTTTTACAAGAGGAACAAGAACAAGGGAACAAGGGGAAATGCCTTCAAACTGAGAGTATTTTTGAATTAGGTATTAGGAAGATACTCTTTACTTTGAGGGTGATGAGGCACTGGAACAGACTGCCCAAAGCATTTGTGGGTGCCTCATCCCTGCAAGTGTTCAAGGCTAGGTTGGATGGAGGTCTGCACAACCTATTCTAGTGAAAGGTGCTCCTGGACACAGCAAGGAGGGTAGAGCTACATGATTTTTAAGGTCCCTTCCAACCAAAACCATTCTCAAAGTCTGTCTTTTACAGTCAATCAAATACCTTCCACCAGGCAACACAATGGCTTAAGCATTTGCTTGAAACTTAAGCATGAAACACAGCACATGCTTAAATGTTTTGCAGCAATTTCCACCACTCTGGTGTGTAAGTCACAAAAGCAAACTTCTACAATATAGCACTGATATAACACATTTCCTCCACAAATATAGTATCTCATTTAACTGTTTTTGCTATAAGGTTTCAGAATATCTAAACAAGGAAGAATTACCTCGTTTTTAATACAGGATTTTCATACAAACATTTTCATGGCAAGCTGAGGTGTTTCCTGCAGCAAGGAATCTACTTAACCTAAGCACAAAACATTTTCTCAGATCTGCTGCCCCCCCAACAACTACATGCTGACCCACTTGGTTAACGGTTCTCACAGAGTTCTGAACTGTTTGCCATTAGGGAAGCAACTAGAAAAAAAGGTGGCATGTTTTCCAGCTCCTATTCCTAACTCATACATCTCACCACCTAGTTGAGGGTGGACAAAATGTCCTACAAAGTTCAGTTGCCATTTCTGATTTCCCTTATAGTGTAAAGTGAATTTGAAAATGAAACCACTTAATTGGTGCAGCACCAGGTATCATTCCTACAATTTCTTAGTTCAGGAGATTACCAAAATTCCTTCCATTGCAAAAAATCATCCAGCTCAGATGACCTTAGCACTCCCCTATTTTCAATGTCTCATCAGCAGTCCTGGGAATCTAATTGCTTTGCTTACCTTTAATTGCTTCTCTAAAGTCATGTGGTAGTACTGGGAAGACATGTATTTATCAGGAAATGTTGCAAGGCTATGATCTTGCTGGAATCATGGGGAAATGGTGAGATGACCTGTACAACTGGAGCTCTGCAATGAAGACTTTTTTACAGGGTAAGGACTAAAGAGATGACAAGTACAGGTGGCATCATTGTGGTTGTTGGCTACAAGACACCTGAACAGAGAGAAGTGGATGAGGTTCTCTGTGTCTGGAAGCAGCTTCACATCTACAGCCCTGGTCCTCAACAGCTATAGGAGGGATAACACAGCAAGATAAAAGCACTTAAGGAGGTTCCTGAAGAGCATCAATGGCTTCCTGACCCAAGTGATAGAGGAACCAAAGAGATGCTCTGCTGGACCTCATACCACCAACAAGGAGCTTGCTGAGGAGGTGAAGCTCAGAGGCTACCTTGGCTGCAGTGAGCATGAGATACAGAGTTTAGGATCCTGAGATGCGTTAGCAGTGCAAAAACCAAGCACAACATTGGTCCTCAGAAGAGCAGATGTTTGCCTCTTCAAAGGTCTGCATTGTAGAATCTGATGGAATAATGCCCTGGAGGAAAGGGACTCAATAAAGCTGATTATTATTCAAATATCACCTCCTCCAAGATCAAGAGAGGTCTATCCCCATGAATTGGAAGTCAGGCAAAAGCCGGGAGACCTGTGTGGATGAACAAAGAGCTCCTGACTAAATTCAGACACAAGAAGAAAGTATACAGAAGGTGGATGGACAGACAGGTAACCTACTCAGAATATGCAGTCAGGAGAGCCAAAACCCACGTGGCATTAAATCAGGCCAGAGATTTCCAAGGCAACAAGGGCTTCTATAAAGTGTATGGATAAAAAAAGGAAGACTGGAAAAAAATGTGCAGAATGGGGCAAGGCACTTGTGACACAGAGCATGGAAAAGGTAGAGGTCCCAAATATTTTCTTCACTTCTGTCTCTACAAGGAACTTGGTCTTTCAGGACTCTCAGGCCCAGAGACCAGAATGAAAGGCTGGAAGATGTGTCCTTGGTTGAAAAGAATCAGGTCAGGAAATACTTAAGCAAGTATGTCACATATGTGACTCCATGGACCCTGATGGGATATACCCACAAGTATGGAGGGAGATGACAGCTATCAGTATGAGTCCACTCTCAAGGATCTTTGAATGAGTATTCAGGAGAAATGTCCAAAGACTGGAGGAAAGCATATGCTGCTCATATCCTCAGGAAGGTCAAGGAAAATTATCCAGGGAACTACAGTACCATCCTCACCTCAATGAGGTGATTGAAAACAGATACTGGAAATTATTTCCAGGCAGTTGAATGACAAGAAAATTACCAGGAATTGTCAGTATGGATTCATCACAGGGATATCATGCTTAACCAACAGTACAAACTTCTATGAGAACATAAATGTCTGTCTTGATGATGAAAAAGCAGTGGAATAGTCTATTTTGATATTAGGAAGGGGGTTTTTTGCATCCACCATCCTGGATGCACAGTGAGAGGGAATTGCAAACTGAGTAGCCAGCCCAGAAAGTGGTGATCACTGAAACAAAGCCTAGTTGGAGGTCAACAACAGTGTATGCCAGGAGTTGATACTGGGTGTAACTGCATTCAAAATGCTGACCTATTTGAAGGTCACCAACAGTGTATGCCAGGAGTTGATACTGGGTGTAACTGCATTCAAAATGCTGGAACATCTCTCATACAAGGAAAGGCTGGGCGAAGACCTGGAGCCAGAAGGCTCAGGGCAGTAATCTTATCAATATATTCAAATATCCAAAGGGAGCTTGTAAAGATGGGTCTAGGGCCTTTTCTGTGTGTCCAGTGACAGAGCAAGAGGAAATGGGCACACACTAAAACAGGAAATTCCCTCTGAATACCAGGAGACTTTTACTGCGAGAGTGACCAAGCACATGCACAGGTTGCCCAACGACGTTGTGGAGTCCCCACCATTGGAGCTGTTCAAAAGCTGTCTGGACAAGGTCCTGGCAACCAGCTCTGCGTGAACATCCTTAGGCAGGGGTGGGAGTTGGACCAAATGACCTCCAGAAGTCCCTTCTGAACTCAACCATTATGTGATTATGTGATTGATATGTTAAGATTCACTTAAAAGAGGAAAGACACTTCACTGTACTCCCTCTGTTTTTATTATTCTTATGAACTCAACCATTATGTGACTATGTGATTGATATGTTAAGATTCACTTCAAAGAGGAAAGACACTTCACTGTACTCCCTCTGTTTTTATTATTCTTATTTCTTCCAAAAATAGCATAACAATGTATTTTCAAATGAAAATTGATACAAGAAATCCAGCAAAACTAGCTTTGACGCACACAAATTTCAAAGAAACATTTCAGCACTTCTAAAGTGTCATCATTTTTAGCTAGTTTCATAAGTACTAATTCTAACAGACAAGAACATCTTATTGTCTTAATTTCAGCAGCAGAACTGACAGATTCTACTGCTTCAGTGAAGGTTACAAGTGTTCTTCTAGACAACAAGAAAAATAGGAGTCATGGAGGAAAGAGTACAACCTAATTACAGGGGGAAAGCAATAAAACTAAAAACTCCTATAATTTGAACATTTAGGTCTTAACAGAAATGTTCTCTTCGAGGTTTGCTATAACTTTTCAAAATACTCATGTACCATCATCATTTCATCTCTGTGTTAAATCTACTGGCCAACAGCAGCCAACAGCAGCCATTAGCCCAAACTGGGGAGAAGAAACATGAAGTAGTCAGGCTTTCTAAGTAATGGGTGGCTACAAGCACATGGAAAGTCAAGCTAACACCGTATAGAAACCCCTAAGCCAGCTCTAAGAGACTAACAAGCAGTTATGATGGTAGTTAGGCACAGTTCTGCCTACTGGTATCATTTGATTACATTCCCAAACGTGCCTCCAATTTGGGGATTGTTACCCATAGGTACCAGAGTGTGTATGCACATACACAGCACTCCCTTCCAGAGAGAACTGCTGGTATCCTCAGCTAACACACAGGTTCCCCTTTTGGTTCATGATCCATGACATGACCATGTTTTTTAAGACTGCAATGAGGTCCCCATCACTACCAACAGCTCATTCTACTGCCAAGCCCATTTGGAATTTTATGAAACAAGAAAGAAAGGCATCCTAAGATCTGTCTAGTAAGTTTCAAGAAACACTAAAACTATTGAAAAGTCAGAATAGTCTTTTAATATAATAAAAAATGTTCAGTAATCTAACTTAAGCAGCTGTTACTGATTACCAAATAGCCATATTTGGAAAATGAAGTCGAGATTTAAAACATTAGAAATTGAGTACTTTCAGAGCAGTTTTGTACAGAACAAACTCATTTAATCTTAAAAGCACCATGAAGTGACACTACATATCAGCAAGCAGGAAAAACAAGAACATCATGGGATTTTACCATGTAAAATGCACCATGAATACCACTAAGGTAGATTTACAATGCAGGCTTGAGCACAGCACAGAGGTTCTCAAACTGACTTGGGTATTTTTTGCTCTGCATGCAATGTGGACATACCCTCTATGCTGAACAGATCTCATTATGAATTAACTGAGCTCTGCAGAACAGTATTTAGGCCCTCATTCTGCATTATTGAAGTCAACATTCTTCCATTAACTTCAGAAAGTGCAGGGTCAGGCTCATAATCACAAACATACTTCTACAAACAAAACATTTGTTTCTAACAAAGTTAAGTGAGTTCAAACACAGGTTTTGAGAGCATGCAGATTGCTTACAAATGCTTAAAAAGACTGGTTCAGAATCTTTCTTATATATACACACACAAGTCCATCTGTCACAGACAGGCAATGTAACTCTGAATCATGAGCTTGCTCTAGTTTTTGGTAGTGTCCTGCACACGTCTGATAATTAAAAAATAAAAAATAAAAAAATAGTTGCCACAATGGATTTCTGATCATTCCAACTTGCACGTGGATATGATCCCTTCTTGCTGCATCCAGTATGTGAAGTTTCATGGTTGCTTCTCAAATGCAAATACCAAGTAAATACCTAAAAAAGAAAATAGCAGATTATTGAAATTACAAAAGATCTTATGATCCTCCAGTGAGTAACTCTAGCATTCCACTCCAAGAAAGTTTTACATGCTTTCAGAAATGTGAATCAAATTCATAAATTACTGTCCCATTCTACATATATTGAACATTCACTAGCACCTAAAAAGTCATGTGAGTTAAGTTTGAAGACTCCTTCATACTTGCAGTAATGGACAATCACGGTTAAAATTATTCATTTTTAATTGAAAAGTGAATGAACTCATGATACACATTATCAATTTTGATGGACAAAGATGAAATTATAGCATTTTTTGAAGTCCAGAACAGTATGATTCTATTAATGGATATTTGTACAATCCACACTAGCACCCCTGGAAAACTTAGCAGGCATATATTCAATGCCAGCTATGCCAGAAGTTCCTATGCTCTATACCAGACAGATACGTTAAACCAGTTACTTGAGACCACATCTACAGATTTTCACTTGATTTCAACTTTTGTTTTAATGAATGAGGTACCATAGCTACTTGTAAATCTTTCAAGACAAGCTTATCAGACATTCCTCAGCAACAATGCAAAGTTCCATATAAGGAATAAGCTGTGCTTATACTCTTATCAGAAGCTCAATACCCCATGTTTCTGGAAAAATAGACTACTTAGGAAACACAGTAATCACTGAACTTTTAAAGGTATGAATCTTTTTTTAGGTATGAAAAGGTATAAAACTATATAAAAAGCCCCTCTCAACTAGCTAATAGAGATAATACTTCTAGATTGCTAGAAATTTATGTCTACCTTATAATTCATAGAGTCAAAAATTAGATAATAATTTAATAAAGCAGAGTGAAGATTTCTCTCACCTGTGAAGTAAACAGCATTTTTGGTTTTAAACTACTAACACAACCAGTATAATGGCCTGCAAAAATACAAATTCTGGTTGGCTGCACTTACGCATTTCTCTCCCAATTTCTTGAGATGTGCATACTACATAATCTATACACAGACATTTTGAATTACAAATAACAACACCATATTATATTTAAAATCTGGATTTTCTTCCATGACTAACAGGTTATTTTAAAGACTTTTCAAAGCAGTCATTCAATCAATAGTGTTTTCAAAACCATTACTTACTTGTTGCTTCCCATTCAGATTTACTCAAGGTTCCCTAGAAGGGGACAAAAAACCCACAGTTTCAACAAAAAATAAGGAAACAATAAAATACTGATTTAGCTCCATTTTTCACTGACCAATGTCTCATCACCCCCAGTGACTGGCTATTTAGGGTCAAGGAAAGCATTACAGTAGACCGCAGATATTTACAACTACACTAACTACGATGGTTGGGAATTGGAAGATCCAGACAATGGAACACACCTAAATTAAACAGGTACAGGAGAATGGGCCAACAGTCTGTTGGTCTGGATGCCTCTGCAATGCAGAGGATGCCTGTGTCCATCACCACACACCAGTGTGACCTGACCTGGCTCCAGCTGCTCTTCAGACCCAGATGCCCAGTAATTGTGCACAAGTCGGGAAAAGGCCTTACACCATGGTGCTGCCACCATTTAATTTAAATTTTTATATATGCAGTAAAAGGACTACATCTTCAAGAATTCAGAACATAAACAGTAGATCAGTCAATTATTAAAAAAAAAAAAACCCAAACAACAGAACCAAGTGGAAAAACTTTAAACTGACCATCCCCATGCTGTATTGATGAAAATTGAAAGAATGATTTCAAATATATATGTTCTCAAATATATAAGTATTATGCAGAAAGCTTTGAAGTCTCCCATCAGAGGATTAAAATTAATGCTTTAAATCAGTATTGTGAAGATCCAGACATATAGGAAGACTCTTCAAATTAAGTGCAGTTAGAAAGAACAGCTGTCAAGTAAGATGGAAAAAATATCCTTTCCATCTGTATTATTACAAATTTCTTAACAGCTACCAAATTAAGTGAATTTGATTCTTTGAGTACAGGATATAGATTAGATGAACCCCTTAGCCCTGCAGCTCTATTATTTTTCACATGCAAAGAGACACTGATACCAACTTCACTGCAGTTGAAATGAAGAAGGCAGCACAGTTTGAAAGATCAGGACCTCAATTTTAAGACACCATTATCTCTAGTGAAGTATAAAGCAACTTACCAATGGTAACTTTGCCTTGCCGTCTTTGATAAACTCTTTTGCATGCTCATAATCATCAGGTTTATCAGAAACAAGCCTGGAATCACCATGTGCAGAATATGGCTGGAAAACACAGAATAAAACACTGAGTAGTGAGATACATTATTCACATCAAGTAAAGGGTTTGTCACAACACAGTCCACAACAGAAGTCAGTAAATCTTAAAAATATTTTAAATTTACGTCTCTCCTTTATAGCATCCTCAGGAACAGGTCTGATGTTCCCTACTTACCAGGAGATCTGACACCCAAGGATTACAAATTCAGTTTTATCCTTATGCCTCTAAAGCAGGGGAAACAGAATAACTATAAACACTCTCCTTCATGTACAGCTCATTATGAGTGTTACCCAGATACACCTTCTTTTAGAAGAGCAACTATACCAGCAACTCTTCAGCAGAAGTTCAAAAAAATGGGCAACTACAATTTCAAGTAGAACAATTGAAACATTTCAGTAACACACAAGCTGTAACAGAAACATACAACAGGTTCTTCAAAACTAAGATGTACTTATTAAGGATCCCAGTTACTAGTGATCTGAGTAAATAAATCTAATTGTAAAAATGCAGTCCTCAGTTGTAAGTGGCTGCTACCTTAAGACAACTCTCTCATTCCTAAGAAGGAAGATGGTAAGTCAAAGGCTGTGTCTCTGTGCTACTGCCAGTGTGAGCCCTTACACAGCATCATCACTTACAGAGCCAGCAAGTGCAGTCAAGATGCAGTCTGAATCAGCTGAGTAAGTCACTAATTAATTGATCTGAGAGTTTTCTGCAGGAGAATTCTCATTTGAGGGATGAGGGAAACACATAACTGCAAGTAAAGCCAAAGCCTCAGAGATGGCCTGGAAAAGCCTCTCTGAAGCTGCTAAAGTTATCCAGGGTAAGAGATGGAGAATAAACAAAAAATGCAAGAACATTGGGCAAAAGCATATGCTCAGTAACAGTTAAGTACCATTTTCTTCTATGAACACAGACTGTCCTTTTATTCCTACAAAGATTCCTTTCTGTCTTTTCAGTCAATATTCCTTGCACAAAGATCCAACTTTCAGGCTCTCTGCTGAGGAAGAAATGGATTACAGACACCACTATCTAACACTTGGCATGATTCTTGGGCTTCTGTTTCCTACTTCATAAAAACAGAAACTTGCCTCAATATTGAAATATTATCTTCAAAGCTGACTCATCTATTGGGTGGAACCTGTGCTGGACCAAGAGGAGAGTGTGAGGAAGAAGGAGAAGCAGAAACAAAGTGTTATGAACAGACCACAATCCCCATTCCCACGCAGAGGAAGGGAGAGGAGATAGAAAGGTCAGGAGTGAACAAATGATGCTGAGCCAGGGAACAAGCAGTGGGTGGGACAATGGTGTTTTTAGGTTTTGATGTTTCTCACCTTTCTACTTTTTTTTTTTAATAAATTAAATTAACGTTCTCCAAATTCAGTCTGTTTTGTCTGTGACAGTAATTACTAAGCAATCTCCTTGAATTTATCTTGACCCACAAGTTTTTTTTTCTATTTTCTCCCCACATCCTGTTGGGAAGAGGGAACAAGAGTGCATGTCAGGGGGTGTCTGGCAGCCAGTCAAGATCAACAACCAGAGTCACACTTTCAGCCCCAGGAACTAAATACTTTCTATTGGTGGCCCTTAATTAATTGTAAAATGTTCACAAAGGGAATTTCAATTATTGTGTAAAAATTAACAAGATGTAAAATGCTATTACAATCAAACAAGTCAACTCCAAATTTACCTCCAAGGCCTGCATTCTCCTCAACAGCATTTTATGCTCCTCGTTCTTGATTTTTTCTTCATAGAATTCCCGAAACGTCATTTTGTAGACTAATTTCATACCATGCTTCTTTGCCATTCTGTCAAAATAACAAGCTTAATTAGGGAAGCCACAAAATTATCGTAGCTTTATTTTCAAAGAAACAATTTTAAGCCACAGTGACATCTTATGGTATTCACTAGAATAACACTCCTTTACAACTTTTTTTCTTAGTAAAGACATTTAGATGAAAAAAACTGCAGTTCCACCACAAATTGCACAGTTTTGGTTTTTAAATTAGGACATCAAAAATCTACACAGAAGTAATTTACAAACATTTCAATAGAAAAGGTCTCTTCTCCTGAAACACAGAAGTTTCATGTGGACTTCCAGAAAGACTACACTTTTCCCTGCAGTATCTATCATGTCAGATATTACGAATATATTTAGAGAACTTCTTGCTACTGTATTCAGCGGCTTACATCTCAATTTTATGTAGACGCCGTGGACATGCAACACTGAAGTTACAGCTGTCAGTGACAGATGCTGTTATTTTTCACAGACAGCTACAAATGAAGCTCTTGAACATGCTTGAAGGGAAAGCTTAATACTGCTTAACCACACTGAGCTTGAATAGCAGGAAAAAACCCAGTATGGAAAGATTTGTCTGTACTTCAGGATACAGCTGGAAAAACCAAATCCGAGGTCACACAGAGGTAACAGCAAAATGTATGCTTACAGATGAAGATCATTTAGAGGAAGAAAAAAATTTCTCACAGCAAAAATCCTACGAACATCTAAGGAAAGGTGGAGGAAACAAGAAAGAGGCACTATGGTGAAGAAGAAGCACAAGAAAGCTTACTGAAAGACTAAAAAAGGGGTAGAAAGAAACCCCTCAAAAAGCTACAATTAAAGAAGAAAAAGCTAACAGTTTTAAAGGTTTGCTGACAGTATCTCAGATTTTGCTGATCCAGTATCTCAGATCAGATGATCCCTCGTGAGACATAGTTTAAGTCCTCACATCTTCTGACCAGAGCACCTGGATAGACAGATCACAGTTGTGGATAGAAATGCAAGAAACCTCTGTATCTAAAGCAACAACAAAAAATTAAGAACTGAAAAATATAGTAAGAACACCAAAACATAATCTTCTGCAAGCATTATGCAATGACCCATAAACTAAACAAATATTTCTTATGTTCCACAGCTTTTATTGTATAATAAATTTAAAACTTAACTTACTCTTCCAGTAAGGGAAAGTAAACCAAAAATTCAGGGACATCAACCACTTCTTCCAGGTGAAAATCATACTTGCAGCCAAACAAGGGATAGTCTCCCTTCTTTTCAAATTTTACATTGTACACATCATTCCCAAATGAATTTGTATCTGAAGCTTCGAGTCTCTTTCTATAGAATGAGATAAACAAATATTTATTGACCAGTACTGAACAGGCAGAGAAAACTACACATAAGAAGCCTGAGAGTGTTTCTCCCAGTAATACTCGGTGATCTCTCTAGTTTCCCCCTTCCCTTATCTCATAAGGCAATAAAACAACAAAATGAAGCAGCATACTGGGTTTTAACAGGTTATCATTGCCATACAACACACCAAGGACAAAATGGACCTACAAGGTGAACCTTTAGCCCAGACACACAGACAATCTACATGGACAAGTCAGGCTTCTAGAAACAACCACAAAACCCTGACAGTTTTTCCCCAGGCTGTGGACAAACCTTTAGCCCAGACACACAGATAATCTACACGGACAAGTCAGGCTTCTAGAAACAACCCAAAACCCTGACAGTTTTTCCCCAGGCTGTGGTAATTTTGACACCACTAAAGTCATGACAGAGGGATGAAGTGTACGAAGACCTGTACTCTCTAACAGAAGAGCCATGAGGACATGAGACAAAGGTAAGTATTGTTTACCTGTTTGAGTCAACTTCATGAGTGAGATCCTTTTTTACTAGAATCCAAAATTGTTGCAAAAAATTGCTTTTGCTTGCACAAACATATTGGAGCACTGTAAGAACATCTATCACTTAACAATGCTTCACAGAGTTTGGGAAGACTAACAGGACATAAGAGTACTTACACAAGTTCAAAGCTATTTGGAGTTGTGCCAATGAAATAACCTCCAGGAGAGAGGTTCCCACAAGCATTTTTAAGCATCATGTCAGCCTGCTCATATGTCTCAAATGAATAGTGGTAAACAAATTGACAACTGCAAATGTCAAAGCGCATATCTGGATCATTGTACTTGGAAGACAAGAGATCCTGCAACAGATAAAAAAGAAAAAAATACAGAAACAAGCATGATTCACTTAAATCTTCTAAAAAATACACTACATTCAATATAGAGGCCAAAAATCAGGGAAATTAACTTTTGTGTACAAGGACAGACAGAACAAAGCATGCAACAGAAAATACATATGCATCTAAGACTAAGCTGTAATAGCAATGTGAAAATATCTCTTTCTTTCCTGGCCAAGCCTCTTTCCTTTCCCCCAAGTCAAGACAGATGACATGAACCTGCAACAGATTATTTCTCAGAAGAAGGAAAGGCAACCAAGAATTCAAGTAAACCCTTCATGCAAAGCGGAGAACAGATATGCTGGAACCAGGTATGTGCTGTCTCAGCCTGCACTTTTAGGAAGAAAAAGCAGTTCTGTTTACAAGACTGTCTCCTTACTAATCCTCAGCCATGCATTCACCACTGCCTCTAGACAGTCTAAAAAACCTGCTCTACCACACAAGTTTTAAAGGTACCTATTATAGTAACCAAAATGTCACTAGAAAGAAAAAATTCTAAGTGTTAAATCAGTTAAGTTAAATCAGAAAATGTGCTTTATATATTCCAGCATTCACCAAAATAGTTTCCAACATCCCATGCTGTCTCACATAACTCCAAAGCTGAAGAGTCATTCTGTTCCCCTTGTCGAGTAAAAGATAGTGAAAGCACCAGATTTACTATCTGGAAAAGACATTCAGGCTTCAGGAATGTTACGCTGTACAACCACAGCAAAATGCACCAAAGTCCACCTTAAGCAACCTTCCAGTAACCCCTACGGCTGATTTTCCTGGTAGTACAATAATCCAACCCTAAAAATACATACACCCAAAATCTTACATTGCTACCATAGAGAACATTAAATCTCCAAAATACTACAAAGCACAGGAGCTGTACCTTGGTACTATCTGCTTGTATGAATTCTGCATCAAAAATATGTTCATTATACCGACATCGGGATTTCATTTCTTCATAGCGGTGCTTGCACTGTTGCACAGAAATGTCAGCAATGTCTACATATGGAAAGATAATAAATATAATAAATGAAACTTTTAAAAGTGTGTACACTGCTCCAGACAAGAAAACTGGAATGATTACTGAAACACAGAAGGTACAATACGGTAGGATAAAAAAACAAACTTTAGTTCCATTAAAACAGCTCAGCTCCCTGGGATTCTTAATACTCTTAAAAATATAAAAGATGTTGAAATGCATTTCTGATGTGTCACATTATGAGAATTTTTTTAAATTCTAAGACTGCTTCTTTCTCCATCATTGAGTTTCTCACAATATGCAATAAATTGACCTAAGAACTTTTTAAGTAAATTGATTAATTGTATTTGAATACTGCCCACTGAATAATGCAAGAAAGAACTGTGAAATGTGAAGTGCCCAAAATAATTCCCACTGAAAGAGTTTTAGTGAATTTTAGTACCTAATCAAATTTGCCGTTACTTTATCAGATTATCCTTGGGATACATTTTGAGAAATAAAAATGTATCCCAAGAAAAGGGATACTTTTCGAGAAAAGGGAAGATGGTATCATTCTCCCAACATCTAAGCCAATTATTCAAACCAGAATTTTTTTTAATCAGCTTTCAGCTCTTCCACATTTCTAAGTCTGAAAATCTTTAGCTGATTGTAACACCCAAGACCATTTTTTCTCACAACACTGGGGGGAGAGGTTTTTTTTGGTTTTTTTTTTAAATGCAACTCTCCTCTATGTGTTTCAGAACAATTTAAAAAAATATGAGAGATTAGATGTGGAAGAAAAGACATAAAATAAAAAATGTTGGTCGTTTCCCCAGGGCCACATTTTGCCCAAGGCAACTGGGGGCAATGGTGTTTTTCTTTAGTGATATCAGTTTTTATTTAGGAGTTGAACTGAAAGCTAAATATTGATGATACTTATATTTCTGCTGGCAATCAAGTCCTATCTTCAGATTAAAAGACAAAACACAACTTTTTGCACAAAAGGTGTACATTACATTCTTTGACTGACTGGAAAAAAAGAAATAAAATACTGGAGGTGACTTGGCTTCCCATAAAACCTGATGTACTTTCCCTATAAACTTATTGTACTTCTTACCAGTACAGACGAGTTTTTTAATTCTGCCTTTTTTCCATTTCAGTAAGTCTCCACCTTTCCCACATCCTAGATCCAGAACAGTTATGTCACTCTTCTTCTGTCGCACCCGGTCTATAAATTCACCTAGAAAAATAAAAACCAGGAGCATGTAAACACATCTCTGCGTATTGCACCCAACAGCCTAAAGAACCAAAAGGAGATGGGAATTTTAAAACACTTCAGACATTACTTTGCCTATAAATCTTCTTAATATTACAGACTTAAATCTCTTTTCTTTCTAGAAGGATGAAAGGAACCACAAACTTTTAAAACTGTGGAGAAGATTAATATTTTCTGTGCTTAATGTGCTCTGCATGTAAGTTGACTGAGGCTCTGAACTTCTGCCCTGGCTAAGGCAAAACTGCACATGGCTAAACAACCACCCTGGGCATGGGGAGGGAAATAGGGTTCCCTTTCATTAGCATTCTAATGAATGCAGATGTTATTTGAAAGTATGGGAAAGCCTTTTGCAAAAACAAAAAGCCAATTAAATGCATCAGCCACATCTCCTCCCAGTCATCTACAAAAATGTATAATGTTTTTCACTTGCTCTCCCAGGCTTTGCAGTAACAGTAGCTACTCCTGTGCTGTCTTTCTACCCTACATACACCAGTCACATTTTTTCCCCCTCGAGGCTGCCCAGATTCTCTCTGCTCTGACTGATGTTGGCATATTATGTATAACATATCAGCATGCTAGCAACTTTTCTTCACAGTAGGAGATATGAAATATGTTTTGATACAACTGCTATAAAGCCACACTGCTGAAATTCTTTATGACAGAAAGGCTTCAACACAGGCTTCAGGAACAGCTTTATAGAAATCTAAATATTGCTTCTAACTGCTCTGATATAGCACAACAAAAGGCAGCATGATAAGACAAACGGTGCCAACATCTTCTGGCACAGATCCCTTTTCATGAACCTGTGGTGCTGTGCTGATGATTCTTTTCTTTGTTGGCAGATATTTGATGGCTTTGTTTCCTCAATTTGGAATTAATTTGTGGAACAGCAGACTTTGCCTTTAAATAAAAACATGCTGATTCTTAAAGAACTAAACCCTTTAGCTTTCCATCTTTACAACCACTGACTACGGATAATATAGAAAATATTTGTGTTCAAGGTTCCTGCAGAACTGCTTAACCAGGATCTGAACAGAGTGCTTTGGGAAAATGCCTAAGAAATTATTTGAGATAGATTAAGCTGTTCTTGTTTCTATCTAAGAACACTTAAGTTCTTTATGATTTAAAGCTGCACTTTTCTCTTTAAAAATGCCACAGAGAAGAACAGTTTCCAGTATGAATTTTTTAAGTCAGTTGACGTTTAAAACTTAACCATATGCTTGGCACTCCAACAATACAAAACACTACTACAAAGATTCAAATTAAATATAAATATAGACGTTTTACTGCAGCTGAAAAACTTACTATGTGTTATGAGACAAAGTGTCATACTCAACATCAGAAAACAGAAAAAGTTATATTTTGACACAAAAATTAGTTACATTTTCATAATGTCTAAGCAATCAATTAAGGAAACTTACCAATGAGGACACTCTTTGTCCAGTTATTAAAGTTTCTGAGGTAGAATATGCGAGACTGGCTACGTTTTTCCAAACCAACTTCTTGAAGTTCATTATAATGTGCAGCTACAGCTTGCCCATGACCAATCACATGCTGCAGAAAGGAAATCACATCACAGAAAGAACAGACTCAAGCACTGAATTCTTTTTATTACTTAGTCATTTAATCAAAAGACATGTTCACTTCAAGGACTTAGGAAGGCAAACAAGCAATACTATAGTTATTACTTAGTCATTTAATCAAAAGACACACGTGTTCACTTCAAGGACTTAGGAAGGCAAACAAGCAATACTATAAAGAGCACCATCATTATAAACAGATTGCACATATCTGTCCTGGTACTGATGTCAGTACTTCAATTATCAAAGCAATACTCACAAACTTAATCCCCTTTTCAGTTCATTCAAGCATTTTTTGGATCAGAGATATTGCCCAGCATCTTTCCTTCGTGGAAATACTTGACTTTCGGCTCTCTAATACTGTCAACCATGCTCAAAGAACACATTTCATTCTTCTTAAGTCTGGGACAGAAGAAGAGGATGTTCCTTCTCAAGGAACTTCAAGCCTCTTCAAAGAGCCTGTTTCAGAAATTGAGTGTTCTCATCTGACAGAAGTGTATAAACTGCCAATTTAACCAAAATGCCAACTGGTTAATATCACATTAAGGTCCAAGTGGATGACCCCACTGCCAGAGATTTAAACAGACCATGATAAAGGAATGAGAGGAATCCTTTGACAACATATTCCATACAATGCTTAAGAGTTAGCTGTAGAAATGTCTCTGATTTAGCCTTAATTCAAAATACAAAGATTTCTGTCCAGCCTTAACTTTAAGTACTACAAGACATTTCTCTCCCCTGTTATGCAGAGAAGCATCCTATCTACATGCAGATATTATGCTCTCAACATTTCTTCACCCTAAAAATGATCTTCAGCTATATACATGAGGTGAAAACAAATAATAAATAAAATCCAAAGTAACAGAACCAAAACATGGACACAACCAGCATGGACTCTATGAAGTACAAAAGCATTTGAAATTACAGTACAAACCAGAATGAAGCCATTATAAGCATTCTTAATAGTTCACTACAGAAGTCAATATCTTTGCATCTTTCTATTCAAATAGCAGTTCCTCAAGGGAAAGAAGGTTTGGCTGATATAAGAGAATTCTTCAGTGTTTCATATACTTTTGGTAAGATTCAGAATGAACACAGCCTCACTTGTCTGAAATCTTTATAACCTCATAATCTGTTTATCACCACAGTGGACTTCTATTCCTTCTCAGGGGAAGCACAGATGGGTCCCTGAATGGCCACTGAAGGTGCCAGAGGCTAGAACAGCTGACTCAGACAAGTGTGGGAGACATACTCATACAAACCATTAACACATCTCAGCTGCAAACAGCCATCAGCAACATCCAGATGGTGGCAGCTATGTTCAGTCACCTCTCTCCACCCTTAGGCTACACAAACCCAAGGAAGCTCCTGCTCATCTAAGCCTTATCAACCCTTACTAAAAGGATGAAAGGGTTAATAATGTTTCTACCACAACAAAGGACACCCTTTACTTTGCCATTCTGCTAAGCCATATATTAACATACTGGGAGAATTCTGGGCAGATAAACAGAACATTAGGTTCAGACATTTTCAAATTATATTTAAATATCCCAAAATGTTTAACTAGAGTGGACATTAAAGCATCAGCTTCTACAACCTCATACAAAATAAAGGACAGCATCATGTAAAACATTACCCTTTTCACCATCCCATGTGGACATATAAAAGGACATACATTTTCTGTATGGGACGGGAGCTCCTTTTATATGTCCACACATTTTCTGCTGCTTCTGCAGTCTTAAAATACAAAGAAGTGCCTGTAAGCCTTTCACTGCTTCACTTTGACAACAAATCACACTAAAACTGTATCACAGAGGATGCAGTCTGTCGAGTTTTGCAAACTATACAGTACCTTACCAAGGAAATAAAAGGACAAAATTACCTTATGGAAGAACTTCCCAAGCACAGGTAACTATGCTAATGCACAGACAAACAACATACATGAGAAGGGAGTTCAAGATATGGAACTTGGACTAATGCCTACACTACACTAACAGATTGCTACCACACAGAGGATGCAACAGTCTTAGAATTAGACTAAGTATGTGCTGAGATTATCACTGTAATTGCCAGCCCTCTTTTTCCTCTGTGAAGCCCAAAATCACTTGTGTACCTGTTATTTCCCTAGGAAACATTTCCATACTTGGTGTTTATGCTGGCTCACACGCATCTAGCATAAACATTTTCAATCGTTCCTTTGAAACAAGGATTTGAAAACAGCTCAAAATAAATGATACTCACTACTTTCTTAGAAGGTTCATCTTCAGAATCAACATTCTTCCTCTTTGCTCTGCCGTTCTGATCACCACTATCAACGTCTTTGTCGTTTTCAGTGGACTGCTCTGTACCTGCAGCAGAACTATTGCCTTCACACCCGACACCTGAAGCTGACTCCAAAGCAGGAGGTGTTTTCTCCACTTCTTCCAAACTCTTCTCTACTTGCTGTTCTTCTGCCTTGGTTACTTCAGCCATTTTGACTGGTCCACTGATCAGAATGGAAATCTAGAGGGAAAAGAAACAAAACACCAAGAATTTTCAGTGCTGAAAATTTCATTTACTTGTAGTTATGATCATGACTTTCGAACGTGATGTTGGTATTTCACCCTAGGCAACATACAGAATTCAAATTTGACCATTTGTTTAATAAAGACAGCTCAATAAAATATGTGGAACTTAAAAGTACTCATTAAAGAAGTTAAAATTAAAATAAATTGTTACTTCTCATTTTAGAGTCATTCTTACATATCTTTATTGACTCAACTGCCAAATGTTACTGTTTTTTTTCTTTCCCTTCCCATAAAAGGTAACCTACAAATCAGTTTATGTTTAGAAACACAGAGAGGTTCTCTCAAATTAGTAAATTTGTTATTTAAACTGATATGCTTTGAAATGGATGTCTTCAAATAAAAGACCAAGATGGGTTTTTGAGAGCAAATTTTATTACCAGTTGTGGATTTTCCAGTTTGCCAAGAATATCCACTATGCTCTGCACTTAACTAATATGTGGAATATTCAGGCGCACCTGTATTTCCACATCTCCACCTCACAAACATCTAAACAGGCTGCAGGACTGCCAACAACCACTACAAAGCTCATCTGGTCTCCAGCACATCCCAGCCTTCTTTACACCAGCACTGGGAAGCAGAACACCTACTTTTTAACAAGATATGCGAGAGGGCAATTTGGCACCTCCTGTTCTGAAACAGTGGTCTAAATGACAAAAAAAAAAAAAAATTAAAACCCAAAAATCACATTTGGATCCAGGCTCACCTCCTAATGAGGGCCAGAACACATCCACTGAGCGGATCACTACACAGAGGCGCCAGAGCAGCTTTCCTCAAAACAAATGGCCTCAAAATAAGTCACATTTGAATCCAGGCTCACCTCCTAATGAGGGCCCGAACACATCCACTGAGCAGGTCACTACACAGAGGCGCCAGAGCAGCTTTCCTCAAAACAAATGGCCTCAAAGTAAGACTTACAGAAATTATTCTTCCACTACTGCACAGCACCACAGCGCTCGGCTTGCGAAGCAGCAGCAGCCCCTTCGTTATCCTCACCCGGCTATTCCAAGATGTTTTGAAAGCCCAAGCTGTGAAACGCTCTCCGACTTTCACAACTAGCGGGGGCAGCCAAAGGAAGCAGAGGCTCCTTCAGCCGGAGAGCTCAAAACGCCCGGAGTGATTTGGGAACGTCCCCGCCGGCCCCGGGACGCTCCCGCCCCCTCCCTTCTTCCTTCCCTCCTTCCCTTCCCCCATGACGCGGCCGGGAGGCCTCGGGGCCTCCGCTCCCGTTACCCGGCCGCCGGCGCCCGTCGCTCCCCTGCGGCCCCCCGGCCCGGCGAGGCCGAGGGCCCCGGCGCGGCCGCCAGGCACTCACCCGGCTCAGCGCCCCGCCATCCCTGTTTGCGGAAGTGACGAACTCCCGCGGTGGCGTCACGTCCTGGGAGGGGCCGCGGGAAAGGGAGCGGGAAGGCGCGGCCGCGCGCGGTGTTTTGTGAGGGGCGGCCGGGGGAGAGGAGGGCTGGGAGCGACCTCATCGCCCTCTGCAGCAGCCTGGCAGGAGGCTGTAGTGAGCTGGGGCCAGTTTCTTCCAACGCGCCTGCTCTGAGAGAGGGGAGATTCCGATTAGATACCAGAACAACTTTATCGCTGTTAGGATGCTCAGGCGTTGGAATAGGTTGGCCAGGGAGGTGGTGGAGTCGCCCTCCCTGGAGGTGTTTAAGAGACGCCTGGGCGTGGCGCCGGGTGATCTGGGTAATGGGTAACAGTGTTAGTGCCGGGGTGGCGATTGCACAGGGTGCTCCCAAAAGTCACTTCCAGCCTTGGAGTTGTGGAAAGCGGCGAGTCCGATCCGGGGCAGAGGGACTACGAGTCCCAGGGTGCCGTGCGAGAGGGAGGGCGGTGCTCGCGCCTGCGCGGTGGGAGGGCGCCGCCGGGCCTGAAGGTGATGGTGGGGACGGGCGCCGCCGCACGTTGCGCGGGGCGGGCGGGCGCGCTCTGACGGGAGCGGCCGTGGGCGGCGGCGGCGCGCTCCCGGGGCTCGCGGGGCCCCCGAGGAGCCCGGCACGAGGTACCCGCGCGGCGGGGGCGGGAGCGGCACGGATCCCGGGGAATGGGCTGCTGGCGCCTTCCGCCCGGCTGCCTCCCCCTTGGCGAGTCCGCCGTGCCCGGCGTTGAAGGATGTCGGCCGCGACACAAGAAAGCGGGGTGGGAGATTGGGATTTTTGGTAGGGAGATGGCGCTGGGTGGGCCTGGCTGTTCCGTGGTGGCTGCTGGCGCTGCCTCTGGGTGGAAAGGAAGGGGTTTGGGGACGGGAGCTCAGGCTGTGGCTTCTTCACGAAGGGCAGCGGCGATCCCGGCTCCGGTGCCCGGTGCCGGGACCCAAGGGAACGGCAGGAAACCGTGTCAGAGGAAGTTTAGGCTGGATGTTGGGCGAAGGCTCTTCACCCAGAGGATGGTTGGGCGCTGGAGCAGGCTCCCCAGGGAAGTGCTCACAGCAGCAGCCCGGCAGAGCTCAAGCGTTCGGCCGTAGTCTCAGTCACAAGGTGTGATTCTTGGGATGTGCTGTGCAGGGCCAGGAGTTGGCCCTGCACAGGACATCGATGATCCCGATGGATCCCTGCCAAGTCAGCATATTCCATGGTTCTGTGTTACCACTGAAGGACCGCGGGTGGCTTATGCTCCTTAAGGGGGTTCTCTTCTAGACCTGCCTATGTCTCGTCTTTTAAAAAAGCTTGAAGTGGCTGTACAAGTGTTTTATTGTCTCATGTTATGTTTCTCATTAGTAATTCGCTCCTGTTAATTAAGTATATCCAGGGAGTCAGACAGAGAAGTCATCAGAATTTTTGTTAAGGCTGTTACATGAAACGTGGATCTATGTCAGCTAATACAAACTACTCCAGCCTCACTAATGTCTATTTCCAAAACTCTCTCTACCAACTGTCCTGAAAAAGAAAACCTTACTTTGGACAGTAGTACATGAAGTGTGATGGAATTCCTTACCAAAGCCAGTTCTTAAACTGAAAGTGTTCTTCAGCTTACCCCAAGGTGTCATTGCTGTTACAAGTATAAACATAAAATGCTTTGCCAAAGTTTTGCTGCTTTGGGAAGAGATAGGGTGCAGGTTCCTGGTTTGGAATGTGTTTTGCTGCCTGTGCTTGTATCACTTGCAGCTGCTTCAGTGTGGGAATTGCACGCACGGAGGATTGTATGTCCCCACCGTCCATCTCCGGTGGGGCTGACAGCACGTGTTTATCTCCTTTTCTGTTTAATGGCTGTTTGAGGTAAAAGGCGTATCACTGACCCTTGTGGCAGCGTTACTGAATTGCACTCACTGCCTAAGAGGCTCTTCAGGGAATTTAAAAAAAAATAATTTGATGATTTGGGTAGGTGGATATCGGGTGGCTTGCACATGGCAAAAACTGAGTAGATAAATTCAGACTGTTAAGGGGTATGTAAGGAATGTAAGAAGTTAAAGACTTGTCTGGTGTGACTGTCTGCAGGTCTGCTTCACGGTCCATAGCAGCTACAAGACAAGTTTTGATGTGGTTTGGTTTTTAGAAGATTCTGTGTAGTTCTCCTGCTGTAGATGGTCTTTTCTGCAGGTAAAGCACCCCAGCTCTTGTGTATGCTCATAGGTATGGCTTGGAAACTGAAGTCTGTTTTTGCAAGACAGGGAGTCCTTGATGTCCCCTAATGTCAGATAAGGGCCCTCAGTTTGCATCTTAGCACATTTCTGGATCTGTGGGGAGTTTTTTTCTAGTCTGGAAGACAAGGGCATGAGAAATTCAACAACAAGAGCAGGAAGAACACTGATTTTTAAAACTGTATAACTGCTAATGGAATCTCAGCAAATTCCTTGTAATCAGTTTAGTCCTGCAGGTTGGAAAGGCAATCCAACATAGTTCTTTTTGGTGTTAAATCAGATAGTTGAAGATTAACTTATTTTCAAAATTAGATGCTGAAGGAAATTCATAATTGTCAATATTTCTGTATTAGGAATGGAATAAAATCACTGAAAGGATTGAGACCTGGGCCCAAAACCTGATGGAAATCTTCCAGGACAGCCAGGTGTCCATCAGAATGGATCATAAGGATTTTACCTTCATATGCTGATTGGTAACTACCTAATTTCATCACTTTAGATCAAGGATCAAACTCAGGGTCAAAGATTCTTAATGACTATTATGTGCCCCTAGTCAATTTTTCTACTTGAGATTAATGGATTGTGCAGTGTGACAATAACAAAAAAGAGCGCTGTTTAAGTTACAGAACTTCTTCTTAATTTTTGAGTCTTGAATCATGTCACCTCTAAAAAACACACATCATTCTTCATGTCCCTATCACTATAATAAAATTCCAGTGAGAGTAAAATGTTATTATTCAGTTTAAAAATCCTTATGGTCTATTCTGTGATTCTATTTTCATCAATTGAGTTAAGTCTTGAAGGTACCAGTACAGGTGTGTTAAGTCCAACACACTTTGTCCATATTAAATTTCGTCCAGAAAATTTTGATTTAAGCAGGGTCTGACAGGCCAGAGTGGTGTGCCTACTTAGGACTTCTTGTCTGCTAAGGACTGAAGCCACATCTTCTTTTAGGCATTGGCATTACACAGTAGGATTTACTCTGTGTGGAACTTTGTGCTTCCTCTAAAAAACTCCAACCCTGTGTAGCCCAGTGCCTTCCATCACTCAGTTTTCCTCTCATCCTCTTCAGACGAGCCACATTTTTTGTTATGTTTCCAGACATGACCCTGCCCCTTTGAAATAAATTCATCTGAATAGTAAAGCTCTGTTTGTGCACGTCAGGAAATGAAAGGGACACTTAGATGGGCTGTAAATTTTAATTCCCTGCATCTACTGTTTTATCTTGTCCCAAGAATTGACCTTGACTCTGTGTAACAGTTCTTGTGTAAACCAAACAAGTTGTGTGGCTGTGATTGTGGCTTTGTGGAACATTGCAGCAGATGATCCCCTGCAGCCCTTTAGGACTTGCCATGTCCTTGAGGAGAGGGACGGAGGAAGGGAATGGTTGTTAATACAGTCAGGTGTTCATAAACAAATTATAAAACAAATCAATAGCTTTTTGTCCAATGGAAGAATTTTGTTGGTTGGAAATAAAAATGCCTGAGTGGCTTCACAAGAATTCAGTGAGTCTCTTCTAAAAGTGGATGGTGAAAGATTTTAGTAAAATGTGACAGCACTTAGCTTTAACTGCAGTGGTAGTGCTTAGCCCCAGCGTGTACCAGACAGTTAACTATTTACTCTTAATATTTTGATGGTGAATTTAAAAACTGGCTTCAGTGATGTTAAAATTAGATGGCATCCTTTGCTCCCTGCTGTCTCAGGCCATAGGATAGTACTTTCTATGTATGAAAGATGTGTCTCTGCTGAACCACAAGCCTTGGGCCTTGTTGATGACATCTGGCAGAAAGCAGTGTGCTTGCAAAGGTTGCAGCGTTGCAGTCACAGGATTCCTTTCCCAATCTGAATACAGCAGTGCTGTAATGCTGCTGCTTCAGACTGAACAGGAATGTTATTAGGGTTCTAATACTGAAGTCTCATGAGAGCTCCTTCTGGTGTAAAGACACAGCTCTCTGACTCTCATGCACTTTCAGACACTTGTAGATGGTGTAATTTTGTTGTTTGCATGTCCTCTGTGCAAGCAGTGCTGTGTAAGGCAGTAAACTGAATAATGGGCAAGAAGGTTTAGCCACTCAGGTATTGAGACCTTAATAAAAATAATACTTCTCTTGTAAGAACTGTTCACGCTCATTTGTAGAGATGATGGGAATAGTGTTTACTGAAAATTAGATGAAGACTGTGGTTTTGAGTGTGTGTGTGTGTGTTCTGTAAATGTTATTATCAGCCTCTTCACACATAATTTTTCAAGATATTCTGATTGATACTGCACATATTTCCCCATATGGAGAAATTTGAATTCACAACAGAGAATTCAGCACTTACTTTGAATATTTAGAAAAGATTTATACTGGAAGTGAATGTCTGCCAACAGTAATTCTGCTGAAAGATGAACGTTCTGTATTTTTTGCTGGGAAAAATGACAGCTTTTCAGTGTTTGAAAGTGTGAAATAAATGTGGTGAGAGAATAAAAGAAAAAAATCTTGAACCCAATGCTTCCACTGTGAGTTCTGTTTTTATGGAAGCTGGGATGTTTTTCCA